AGGACATGAGTTTTTTAAACTTAATGTATCAACCGAGATAATGAGGACCCCCGCCCCACCACCCCCGCAGTGCTGTATGAGATATTTTGACAGGATAGCAGCGCTGTGGTTTACATAATTCTGTCCATAATTATATTTCACAGACTTGTGTCCAGGGTCCTCATTCACCAAAACTTAAACTAAGATACAATCGAAATTTTAAGAAATACTGCAATTCGATTGGCTGACCAATATGCAAATTGGATATATGCAAATTGATTTAACTGGTCAGCCAATCGAATTGCAGTATTTCTTAAAATTTTAAGAAATACTGCAATTCGATTGGCTGACCAATATGCAAATTGGATATATGCAAATTGATTAATTTTAAGAAATACTGCAATTCGATTGGCTGACCAATATGCAAATTGGATATATGCAAATTGATTTTACTGGTCAGCCAATCGAATTGCAGTATTTCTTAAAATTTTAAGAAATACTGCAATTCGATTGGCTGACCAATATGCAAATTGGATATATGCAAATTGATTTTACTGATCAGCCAATCGAATTGCAGTATTTCTTAAAATTTCGATTGTATCTTAGTTTAAGTTTTCGTGAATAAGGGCCCAGTATTATTTTATGAAGATGACACCCAAAGATGAGGGTTGGATAATCTCTCTTCTAAGCCGATGGAAATTGAAATCTTGAGCGATAACGTCAGGAACTGGGTAGCCATCTTCCTTGTTAAAGTCACAATTTCATATTTTCTACGAAAGTCAAAACATAATTATTTCTATGTCGTTTGCTCAATAGGTTGTCACAACTCACTATTATACGATCATAGGTGTCATTCTCAAACTTAAAACTCATTTACACCGGAAATAATAACACAATTACCCCCAATTACCTCCCTTGTTTTCAATACTCCACCATGGAGTAGTTATCTTCAAACGTTTGAATTTGATGATGAAAATGATAGTTTTGCCAATTTCTCAAATGGCAATAGTGAATTATAGGGTTAATAGGATTATTCTTTAACAAGGTAGGACTGTTTATAGATACCATCTATTTTAAGGCTTTATTTTAATAAATTTTAAAAATATAACTTAAAAATATGAAATTGCAACTTTAAATATATAAAATGTCTCTGTTTTGAGAGATTTTGAATCACTTTTAAATAAAAAATTGAATCTGGAAAGGACAATCAGTGTAAATATTTGGCATCCTGTACAGCTAATTAAACATGCGTTGGGTAAAATATCTTGATGGGCCTTATGTAATATAAACTCTTGATTTGTTCAACGTCCCATATTCGATATCGGGATCGAAGTTAACCGAGAAAGTTCCTACCCCTTGAGTAATATTTTAATTAAAAAAAATTGAATAACTACTAATTAGTAAAGAAACATAAACAATGTTTTAATAAAAAAAAATAATAAAGAAAAGAATGAAAAATGTTGAATGAGTTATCAATCTACAAATATAATCATTGACTAGCTACAAACTCACAAATATAGAACACATGAATACAAATAAAATGAAATGAAATGGGGTTTAACGTCCTACTGTTTTGCTCCGAACTGGGCTAATGAAGACGGGCATACGCCACACATGTATGGTGAAATGTTGGCAGGGTAAAAAAAAGAACAAGAATTAATGATCTCGTGTCGCAAGACTACTCATGGGGATATACCAAAAAACGATTGAATGAAAATTTTCTATAGACCCCTTTTGTGGACGAGCCCCAAATTCGTGAAAAAATAAACTAAATAAAAAGGATACGCAGATTCCGTATGAACAATTCTAATTATTCACTGAATTTACATTAAAACATCCATCTTGCACTTTACCGATGTCTAGAACAGTATGTTACGACGCACTGAAGAAATTTCACAGAGTGGTCCTTGTGGTTCATGTCTCGTTTGTAACTACTTCGTGACCACAGAGCTCCGAAGTCAGCATGTACTGACTCACTGGCTTGTTCACTATAGAATCATAATCCCTTTCTATTTCCGGGATCTGTCTGCTGTCTAGCGAAGAATTTAACTACATGATCAATGAGTGCATGACACTTGTTGGTGATTTTCGAGTAAAGTTCTTCATTGAGGTCCATTATATTCCCCACCATGGAGCGGAGGACGGCGGACTCCTAATGCGTCTGACTAGTTTCTGGCAGTGAACTCAGATTCCCCGAGTAAATTGTCCACGAGTCCGCCGTCCTCCGCTCCATGGTGGGGAATATACTGGACCTCAATGAAGAACTTTACTCGAAAATCTGGAGTCGCGAGAAACATTAATGATTGATGATAAAGTTGGACCAGCCGGACAAAAGGTCATTGACGTATTCAAAGCGTTCAATGAAGTGAGGATCAAATGTTTCGGAAAGATTCTCAACAGCAATTACAAGGACCCAATCCACAAGTTTGAGTCGACGTACAAAGACTTGCGGATCCCAATCACCAGCAAGTGCCATGCACATGTGATCATTAATTCTTGTTCTTTTTTTTGACCCTGCCAACATTTCAACATACCTGTGGCCACAGTGTGCTATGAGGGAAATTTTGCCCGGCAACTGTCAAGGGATCTTTTACGTGTACGCCAATGTGTACACGGGGCCGCGGTTTTTCGTCTCATCCAAATGACTAGACAGCTGTCCTTGTAAGGCAGACATGAATACAGTTTTAATGAAATGAAATGAGGTTTGACGTCACATTGTTCTGCACTGACAGTACTAAGGAAAACGAGCATACGCAATACAGTGTGTTGTAAGCCTACTCTTATATCGAATTCCCACTGTCAAGCATTCTTTTACATGCAACCCAATGTGTACACGGGACCTCGATTTTCCGTACAACCCTACGTTGTCCCTTGCCAGGCCCTCCGCCCTGTACGCCGGAAAATCCCGATGTACGTTCATGGCTTACTCATTGAACCACCGCGGCTCCCTAAAGTTTAAATGACTTCCCCATGGCGAATTCCACGATAAACAAAACGTATTATAAACAAATGGCAAGGCAAATGTTACAAGGTTAGCAGTCAACAAAAATTAAATATACTGAGCGCCATGGAAAACGCCTCACCTTTTTTTCCCCAAATATTTTATTACTAGGTGGTTTTATATGTATAATATTATGCAATACTATGAACTATTGTTTCACACAATGCTCCCAAACGCAAAACATATCGGCCAGTGTGCAAAAAAAAATTGCACGAGATGCACATGAAAAACCCAATATTCACGTGCAGCATTGTGTGTGAGCCCTTTAAAAGCATGTTTTCAACTTAATGTGCAGTACATGAACTGTGAAACGTCAATCTGTCGTAATTTGTTGTTGGACGTGTGAAGGAATCGAGCTAGAGATGCCGAGACTTACTGAAAATCAACGGAATGAAGCCATGGGAATGTCCAGGGCTGGCATGTCTACACGTGCTATTGCCAGACACTTCAATTGTCATCAGTCCACTATTGTAAGGTTGGTGGAACGTGTTCGAGTTACTGGATCAACACGTGACCGTCAACATCCTGGTCCACAACGCGTTACAACCCAGGCTCAAGACCGCTACATCCGGGTCAATCATCTGCGTGACAGATTCCGCCCAGCGACTCGAACAGGTGCAGCAGTCGTCGGAAGACAAGGACCAGTAAGTGCCAACACCGTAAGACGTCGTCTAAGAGAAGTAGGACTCCGTGCACGACGACCTTATGTTGGAGCTATCCTCAGGGATCATCACCGTCAGCGGCGTTTGATATGGGCTCAAGGACACCAGACATGGAGAAGAGTAGACTGGCAAAGTGTGCTCTTCAGTGATGAGAGTCGCTTTCATCTTTATCACGCTGATGGCCGTCAACGTGTGTGGAGACGTCTTGGGGAACGTCTTGCAGACTGCTGCGTCTTCGAAACGAATCGATGGGGTGGGAGAAGTGTAATGGTGTGGGGAGATTTCACACTTCATCACCGGACCGCCCTACACATTTGCAAGGGTCGCGTTAATGCTGTAGCCTACCGTGATGATGGCCCGTGGAGGACACACGCGCTACTGACATCTGTGTCGTACTTTTGTTTTTGACCCCTCTTAGACTTTGTACCCATGATTACAGATTAAATATCCATAAGTGTACAAATGTGTTGTTATTGATGTGTTCCCATTTGAATATTGTTCACAATAAGAAGCAAAATAAATAAGATATGTTTACAGGATCATTTTGTTATACGAAAAACTAAGTGATGCGTTTTCAATGGCGCTCAGTATATTATACATGAAAAGCTACAAATTAATACAAACAGCACACTGACAAGCTATAAAGTAATAAATTAAAAATAGCTACAAAAAGAATAGCGATTAGCTATAAATTAATAAAGAAGGTAAAACAAATAAAAAGGATTTGAATGAGATTCGTATCCTTAAACTAATCCATTTAATAGCATACATGGATAGCTACAAATTAATACAAAAAAAAGAACAGTGATAATATATAAACTAAAACGAAAGTAGAAAATGAAAAGGATTTTAATGATGTTCCAATCCTTAAATTGCACGATAGGCATAAGTTATTATCAACAACTGGCAAAGACTTGGTCTTAATATCAATACAAAAAGAACCCCCAACCCCACCGCCTACCCCAAGCACTTTGGTTTCATTTTAGAATTATAAAAATAAATTTTCAGTGAGATAAATTTTGATTAGCATTCAACAAGTTACCGATGTATTACACCCCAACCCCCTCCCTTCTTGACACCACTTGGTCTTAATATCAATATATCAATAACGCCCCCCCCCCCCAACAACCCCCACCACTGAGATGTGTTGACCCCCCTCCCCACCCACTTCTCCACAAATCCCGCCCCTTCTCCACATACCCCAGCTCCTTCTCCACAAACCCCACTCCCGTCTCCACAAATCCCACCCCCTTCTCCACAAACCCCACTCCTTCTCCACAAAACCCACCCCCAATTACACAAAACCCACCCCCTTCTCCACAAATCCCACCCCCTTCTCCGCGCATCCCACCCCCTTCTCCACAAATCCCTTTTCATTCTAATTTGATTGATATCAGTTGCCAATAACGCCTGCTTCTTTTGCGAATAAAGTACCCCCACCCCTACCACACACCACACCAAGCTCGGTTAACAGTGTGCTAAAGCCTTGTGTCCCACCATAAATCTTCGATGGCATCTTGTCCAGATCGTATGACCACTAATGAACCACGCCCATCAGAATACTTGACTCTGTTCGCCAATAACTGACGTCTGCGAATACTGCTTTCTAATACGATAATAATCTTAGCTCTCTGAAACAAATTACACAGTCGCATTATGATAAAGTTAATAAATATAAAATCGGGATTAACGTCCTATTTTGGGGAATGCTCACTAGTTTGCGGGTTCATTGGTCCATTGATATTTATTGTTAAGGTCAGGTTTGGGTTAGGGTTAGGGTTCATTGGTCCATCGATATTTATTGTTAAGGTCAGGGTTGGATAAGGGTTAGGGTTCATTAGTCCGCCGATATCTATTATTAGGGTTAGGGTTGGGTTAGGGTTAGGGTTAGGTTTATTGATACCCATATTTATAGTATTTCTTATAGCTGCGGACTACTGCACCCGCGGATTAGTGAACTGCTACAACTTGGCTAATGACGAAGGACAGTTGTCATGCAGTATGCTAGGGGGTAAATTGTGCCTGGAAAGCGTTCTAACGGTTCTTTTAGTACCATCCGGAACGTCCCGAATTGACAGAATTGCAATCAAGTGATACGGAATTCAGTCCTGTCACAGTTCTGTCAGTCCCGACAGCTGAGGTGGTGTGAGTAGAATCGTGACGTATTTTAAGTAACAAATATGTTTCAGCTGTCATGATTGGTTGATATATTTTTTTTTATGCAGTCGGCACATGCGTTGTACTCCGAAATTCTCCTTTTCACTCGAGGTAATATAATTCCGGAACTTTCAATCGTTTATCCCCAATGATCCGTACACCAGTGGACCAAATGAACTGAAATGTTCTGCTCCGAACTGGGCTAATGAAGACGGACCAGTGGACCATGGTAGACACCTTTACGTCCGCGAAAATATTTGTGGATCGCTGTTATTTATCTCTTCGACGAGTAGACACCCCCAAACAACTGGCAAGAATAAAGGGGATCGATCAACATTTTCGTCTTCAAATAGTAGGCGGAGGGACGTTTGTTTACTAATTAGACATGCTCATTTGGTTTAAAGTATATATGATGGCTAAAATGGCTTAAATCTTAAATGTAGATATTTACCCAAACCAATCAGCACCTATCTGCACTTTTGCATATGTATACCCCAATTCAATTTCAATATGACTTGAATGAAAGGGTGGCTGTAACGGGTGTCGATTTCATGCCTGTATTTGACCAGGGTCATTCAACAACCACCCTCTCTCTCTTTCTCTCTCTCTCTCTTTCTCTCTCTCTCTCTCTCTGAATGAGACCATATGTTTGTCTAGAAATGGCCTAGTGGACCTCTCTCTCTCTCTCTAAATGAGACCATATGTTTGTCTAGAAATGGCCTAGTGGGCCTCTCTCTCTCTCTCTCTAAATGAGACCATATGTTTGTCCGGAAATGGCCTAGTGGGCCTAGTGGACCCCCCCCCTCTCTCTCTCTCTCTCTCTCTCTAAACGAGACTGACCTGTTTTCTCCATTCTTTCTCTGCCTTAACTCTGATATTATGATATGTATTACCCATCATAGCAATCAACATATTTAACAGTAATATCGGCACTAATGTTATAAATGCTGTAAATATCAACTTGGTTATTTCAGGGCTTCGAGCTTCATTAAATGTTTCATACTGAAAGAATAAAAACATATCCCCACATATGGATTAATACGAGACATATCTAAAACAGCTCCTTTTCAAAACATCACAAATCCATTTCGGAATGTCCATAAAGACAGGCGGTTCATGACAGAGAGACAGGGAGAAATGGGGTTTAACGTCCACTCGACACAAACTAGGTCATTTCGGGACTAACATATGGTTTAATTTTATTTCAATAATTCGCTTGCGCGTAGGGGTCTTTAGCAGTGAGAGGAAACCGGGGGACTCGGAGAAAACCCACGAGGTGGGACAGGCGACTCTACTCCTTGTCACGTACAACCGGGGATTCGAAACCACGCTAGATTCCCCGATTGTACGTGACACGTTCACAAATCAACGATGCGATCGAATTAATAAGCCAGAAAACGTTCTATATTCTACCTTGAATTCCCCAAAAGTCATCTGAAACAAAGCATATACAGTGCGACACATTCACAAATCAACGATACAATCAATAAACCAGAAAACGTGCATATTCTACCTGGAATTCTCCAAACGACATCTGAATCAAAGTCAGTATGGTCTCATTCCACGTAGAAAATCTTTCTATAGCGAATTCTTTATTGTCTGTGAAGTTCGTTGGGTTGATTGACTGGTCCTCAATATCACGAAACAGCAGAGATAATCCTGAAACAGAACAAGATTTAAAACAGGGCCATCAATTTGATTCACAGAATTACTGATCGTCTTATTTTACAGAGAGCAGCATTGGTCGATGGAATTTTCAATTCTTTATATATACTGAACTAAAAGGGCGATCATTTTTGGCCTAATATTTTATTCGAGAGCCAACCTGCACAATACAGATTGAGAGGGTTTAACGTCCACTTGAGACAAACTAGGTACTTTAAGGACTAATATATGATTCAATTTATTTCATTAATTCTCTTGCTCGTAGGGATCTGTAGCATCGGAAGGAAATCAGGAGAGCAAGCCACCTTACTCCCTGTCAAATACAAGCGGGGAATCGAAACCGCGTAACTTGGCTCAATGCAGACCATGCGATCTAACTTGCAATATTCTCCTTAACAAGATGAAACAAGGCAAGAACAATAAGAGGAATTTCTTCGACCAAACCGGGATCAAATGTTGTAAGTGAGTTAGTGCCAGCTATACTCATTGATCCACCGTGGCCCCCTTCGAACCCACCCCTTGTTCAAATCGAGTGGTTACAATACTTCTACAATTATTATACCGGGGTGAAAACAAAGGAGAGAGGTGTCACGTGTTACTTGAACCACCGTGGCCCCACTTCAACGATAAATATACAATCATTATACCTGGATGAAGACAAAGGAGTGAGTTAACTTGTGTTTAATGGACGATTTTATTGGTGCACCCGCCCATTTTTCAAATTCGAGCCCATGCCCCGCCCACTTGTTAGTGAGCCACCCACCCTTGTTAGCGAGCCACCGTGTGTCTAACCCGTGTCCCCCACCCTTGTTAGCGAGCCACCGTGTGTCTAACCCGTGCCGCCCAAGCTCGTTAATGAGTGAGTGACCGGGTGTCTAACCCGTGCCGCCCTACCCTTGTTAGCGAACCACCGTGTGTCTAACCCGTGTCCCCCACCCTTGTTAGCGAGCCACCGTGTGTCTAACCCGTGTCCCCCACCCTTGTTAGCGAGCCACCGTGTGTCTAACCCGTGTCCCCCACCCTTGTTAGCGAGCCACCGTGTGTCTAACCCGTTAATGAGTGAGTGGCCGTGTCTCTAATGTTTTGTTTAAATAGAACATAATCAATATAATACCCAGACTTATGGAAGATTAATTTGGGTTTTTCTTGCAAACTAAATAAGTTGCCTCGTTAAATAAAGTTATTATTAGTATTATTGTCCTTGTGTGACCCATCTTCCTGACGCAGGGGTTAGATGGCCGAATGGTTAGTGTGTGAGCGTTGCATCATAAGGTTTGTCATTGAGTCAAGTGGCGTGGTTTCGAATCCCCGGTTGTACGTGACAAGGAGTGGTGTCGCCTGCCCAACCTCGTGTGTCGTATATTTCAATAATTCGCTTGCGCGTAGGGGTCTTTAGCAGTGGGAGGAAACCGGAGGACCCGGAGAAAACCCACGAGGTTGGACAGGCGACCCTACTCCTTGCCACGTACAACCGGGGATTCGAAACCACGCCAGTCGACTCAATGGCAGACTTTATGATACAGCACGCGCACGCTAACCATTCAGCCATCCACCCCCCCCCCCCCCCATTTGGATAACGAAAAACAATATAATAAATATAATACCTAGACCAAATCCGATACAGAAGAAGAAGTAAACGATAGCAAATCGGAACATATCCCTCGTCAACATCTTATAAACCATAACAACAAACGGTCCAGTTATTGCCAATGCTCTGAAATAATTTCAACATTTTTCAATCAAGGACGGGGGTTTATGAATAATAAAAACAAACGGTCCAGTTATTGTTGATCCTCTGAAATAATATCAACATATTTCCATCAACAAAGGGAATGTAACGAGGATTAACGCCCTATTGTTTTAATGAAGATGGCACCAAAATACCCAATAAATTAAGATAATCCCCCGACCTCTCCACCGGGTTAAACGGGCGCTTAAATCTTCAATGTACCGCTAATCGTTATATTTACAACCACTTGATGCTGCTCTTGGAAGTGAGGTGCAGGGATTTTCGAATAGGTGGGTACGGAAAACAACCAGAGCTTGGATATGGCTACCCTCCAATGGTTCTCGAAGCTTGCATATGGCTACCCTCCAATGACTCACGAAGCTTGCATATGGCTACCCTCTAATTTCTCACGAAGCTTGGATATGGCTACCCTCAAATGACTCACGAAGTTTGGATATGGCTAGTTTCAAATGACTCAATCAGCTTGGATATGGCTAGCTTCGAATGACCCAAGGAGCTTGGATATGGCTAGCTTCGAATGACCCAAGGAGCTTGCACATGGTTAGTTTCTAATGACCCATGGAGCTTGCACATGGTTAGCCTCGAATGGCTCACGGAACATACACATGGTTAGCCTCGAAGGGCTCACGGAACATACACATGGCTAGGTTCGAATGGCTCACGGAGCTTGGATATGGTTACATTCGAAAATGTCTGAAAATTCTTAGATATTAAAATCACATAATGAAAATTAAAATTCTTGTGTAGTACGGTCCTCCTGCACTTACTATTAGAAACTATAATGATAATTAAAAATTGGGCCTGACAAGGACAGCTGTCTAGTCCTTCGGATGAGACGAAAAACCGAGGTCCCGTGTATACATTGGAATGCATGTAAAAGATCCCTTGGCAGTTGGAATTCGATATAAGAGTAGGCGATAGTGCCGCTGCCCGGGCAAAATTTCCCTCATAGCACACTGTATGGCGTATGCCCGTCTTCATTAGCCCAGTATAGGAGCAGAACAGTAGGATGTTAAACCCCATTTCATTTCATTTCATTTTAATTAAAAATTCTTACCTTGCAAAGAAGAGAAGAATACAGAATGCCCCTGGTACAGCGATGATGAGTAATATTTCTTCAGCATCTACTGATCTGGTAAATCTCAGTGGTATACAAATTAATATCAGAACACAAGACAGGGTATAGATTGTATTGTCTGGAGCATATTTCTAATAAGATACAAAACCAAAACAAATATTGTTTTATAGTATTATGCAAACTCAACAAAATTTAAAATTATGCAAGCTTAACAGAATTTAAAATTATGCAAACTAAAAATTTAGAATTAGGCCAACTGAAAATTTAGAATCATGCAAACTCAACAATATTAAGAATTATGCAAACTCAATAAAATTAAGAATTATGCAAACTCAATAAAATTAAGAATTATGCAAACTAAAAATTTAGAATTATGCAAACTAAAAGCCATGAATTAGGTTAACACGTAATCATTCTAAGATTCTGTTTAGTGTGTAAGCCATCTTAAAGCAGATTCTAGGGAGAAATCATTTCTGTCTGATATGAATAAGAATGACTAGTGACAGTCAAGACGAGTTTCCTCTTAATCATCCAGCAACACAGAGCAAATTTTAATAAGAAAATATTCCTGTCTGATAGGAATGGGTGTAACACTCAAGTTTCCTATTAATCCTCCAGCAACACTATTGAACATCTAAACATTGTGTAGAACCATCATCCAGCAACACTACTCAACATCTAACCAACTTATAGTGGTGTAAAGCGGCGATTATAATGTAGTTGAAATTACTCATCCGATTAGAATATAAACACTTCCTGTTTCAGATTTAGGGACCCACGAGGATGGACAGGCGATCTCAATCCTTGTCACGAACAAGCAGGGAATCGAACCCACGCCACTTGACCTAATGGCAGACCTTATGATCAAACGAACCATTCGCCAATGCAGGATAAAATGGAGGACTGCAAACACTGTGAATATTTGGTAAACTATACTTACACAATTTCTGAAATAGAAACGTAATCCTAACTCCTTTACAACTTTGGCTTCTTCCATCACCAGATTAAATACACACCCTAAACACATGAAGCACTCTGCTATAACACGAATCTGTTTTATGAAACAATATATATACAGTTATTACAGTATAGAGTGATTACAGTATAGCGTGGTAACAGTGTAGAGTGACTGCAGTATAGAGTGGTTAAAGTATAGATTGAATGCAGTATAGAGTGATTACAATATAGAGTGGATACATTGTAGAGTATAACAGTATATAGTGATTACAGTTTAGAGTGGTTACATTCTAGAGTGATTACAGTATAGAGTGATTACGGTATATAATGAACACAATATACAGTGGTAAAGAGTGGTTAATTATAGAGTGATTACAGTCTAGAGGTATTATGGCATATAATGATTACGGTATAGAATAAACACAATACAGAGTGGTTAGTATAGAGTGATTACAGTACAGAGCGGTAACAGCATAACGTGATTACAGTACAGAGTGGTAATAGTATAGAGTGGCTACAGTATGGAGTGGTAATAGTATAGAGTGGCTTCAGTATGGAGTGGTAACAGTACTGAGAGGTTACAGAATACAGGTAATGTACGTTGCAATGACAACAATTGACTGGGTTATCCCCAGTACATACCTATAACATTACAGTATACAGATGACACAGTATACGAAATGAAATGGGGTTTAACGCCCAACTTCTCTACTCCGACTGGGATAATGAAGACGGGAATTATTACGGTAAGCATCATAAATCTTTTACAGTATATACGGTTTACATAGTTGATATTAAAGCTGAACTCCGATTACAAAACTACAGAAATAATTAAATAAAAAAAGGTAATACCCTAAACGACCGCCATACTTGTTTTCAATTTGTAGAACAACAATGGCGATCGCTTTATGCAAACAAACAGTTAATTATTTCTGTAGTTTTGTAATCGGAGTTCAGCTTTAAATCTTGTTTACACTTTTAAACATATGACCTATTCACGTCTTTATACAAGTTATGAAGGCCGGTTTAAAAATAGACCGGTTTACTGATAAAATAAAGCGGGAGGCTGCGTGACTTCAGGTTTGATTTATTACTATGCATAAAATGACACGAGAACCTAAGGGGCATCGTTGATGTAAATATGATAGGAGCGAGCCGGTAAAATAATAACTGTCGTCAACTTTAGAAATATCATATTCTTTAAAGGGACAATAACACTCTTGCTGGCTTGAAAGCTCCAGAAAATAAATAATATCTCTAAGTACTAGATGTTTAAGTGTCCTACCTGTTGTGTAAATTATCCATTACATCCTATTTTACTTGTCCAGAGGGTTCAAAAATATTTTGAAATCAACGTTTCATTTGAAAAGGTTTACGTTAGACGTTTCAAACCATTATGTTGAATTTTTCAAAATTTTTAAATAAGGTGTGTTAAGATGAAATTTATATCATCAATTAATTGAAATATTCTAAAATAGTACAATTTGTTGACCAGAATAAAGATTGGGACATGTTATTAAGTTACAACAAGAGTGGTATTGAGCCTATAACAGACTTCCACAAAAAATATATTATGCATTCTGAATAATATTTACGATGGCCAATAAAAAGAAAAGGACGCAAATTGCGATCACATTCTTGATAATATGAAATGAAATACGGTTTAAGGTCCTACTGTTCTGCTCCGACTGGGTTAATGAAGACGGACATACGCCATGAGGGGAATTTAGTCCGGAAAGCGGCAGTACGGCCTACTCTAATATCGAATTCCAACTGTCATGCCCTCGGTCCTACAACACTGACAAGGGGGAACCACGCCGGAAAATCTGGATGAACTTTCTCGGTCAATGTAGGGATCGAATACCCGACCTCCAGACTAGCACACGGTGAACCCCATCGAGGGTGACCCTTCCGCCGAGGGTGATCCTTCCACCGAGGGTGATATCGTAGAAAAGTTGTTTTATTTTATTAGGCTTAGTGCATGCACATACAAATGTCTTTCCAGTGGGAGGAAACCTGATGGCCCTGGGTATATAAGGGGTTGAGAAGGCGCCCCTATCTCCAAGCCCCTAAAACCACGACAGTAAGCCAGAGTTGATCACCTAACTAGAGCTTATTATCACTGCGCTTGGTCTTCGTTTTACTCTCGAAAAATTCGGGGGTTACGCTTTTCGAAAAATAAAAACAACTTCCGCCAATGCCAGTCCGATCAACATTGCTGTTTTCTTGGATAATTGTGGCTCGATTTTTGATATGACATCACAACGCCAAGATGGCGACGATGACGCCATGTCCGGTTTCTGGCCCATAGTAAACGCGGAGCGTGGCCCAAAGAAGAAGAAGAATATATCGGGGCGTTTCTTGGTACAAAATGAGGATTTATCTTACCACATTGGTTAATTCTGAGAAATTCAGTAGATTACCATGATTAGGTCGTGTATAAACAGCTACAGTTATTGTTAACAGATGTGTCACAGATATACCCATTCTCCACCAGAACCGTGTCTACAATATAATACACACATGTATCATCGTTATACTCATTCCTAAACAGCTAGTCTCTATAACATAATACAGACATATATCACAGTTTTTCTCATTCTCACACAGTCTCTACAATATAATGCAGCGAGACATGGAGTTCAACATTCACAAACTGGGTCATTTCGGGACTAACATATGATACAATTATATTTCAATAAACCTATAAGATTAGAAAGACGAACGATTTAATAAAGGCATGTATCATAGCTATACACATCTAATTGAAGTCTCTACATGTCTTTAAGACAATTATATGTCCTGGCTATGCTCATTCTCTACAATATAATGAACATCGAGTAGTCAAGATACAGTTATCCATCGGCCTGTACACAACGGGATGTCACCAAGGGCGTGTAGTCACAGAAACATGTCGGTCTGTGCATAAGGGAGCGTCACCAAGGGGATGTCAGTAACCTAAGCAACTGACTAATTCTACATGGACAAACTCATCTTTATGGATAGAACAAATATGAGAAAGTTAAAATAAATTATATCATATTATACCTTGGCATAGGTTTTCCATTTCTCTCTCAATAACTGGGACATCACTGGGCCTTCCAACATCTCGGCGTGTTCATCTGTTTCTCCGTCTAATATAGTCATCAATGCCGACTCCCAATCTGGAAACCGTATAATTTAGACATGACTTTGCTTAATTATCTATTAATAGTCCTTAATGACTTTACCATAATTAGTCATTAATGTAATTGACGCTAGAGCTATTCTTGCTTCTCTACTATAATTATTCATTAATGTAATTGACGCTAGAGCTATTCTTGATGGCTCTACTATAGTTATTCATTAATAGACTCTAGGGTGCTAAACTTACCAGTTTCACCTTTAGGACCAATAGAGTCCAGAGCGTCTAATGGATACTGTGAACAGATGATGTTACCAAACTTCCACTTTTGCTGTCACAATGTAAACAAAAATATCAATCATTCGTTAGTCAAACTCGAAAAAGCAAAATGGGTTATTGTTTTCTAACAACCTACTGCCTTATTTTTTTTAAAAACATTTTGAGTTAAAAAAGCCTTTAAATATCTTGTAGTGTCTACTCTCTCCTCTGGCATCTTCGTGTGATTCAGCATCTACACAGATTAAGCCTTTGCTAGTGCTACTCTATCCACCAGCATTATCATTTGGTCCAGCAGATGAACAGATCGGCCAGCCTGTCCAGCCTCTGTTACTCTGTTATGGAAGTGTTGCAGTTCCCTCTCTCGTTTCCAAGTTTTTTTTAAAATGGTAGTAAAACATACATAAATATATTGTTTACTTACCGTACTACTTATCTCCAACATTTCCTGGAATATTTCAGGTCGGCCTAATTTACTGGCAAGTGTTAAAGGGGTTAACCCAGCTTTGTTTTTAGATTCAACGGCGTTTTGAAAATTCTTAACAGCATGTCTGTAGATTTTCTACAAATAGAAAAAGAGACTAGAAAATGAGGTTTACCGTCCACTTAACACAAACTAAGTAAGTATATATTAACATAGTTGATTCACCTGCATTAGACTTTCAACTTACTAGGTGGACAGTGATGCAACAAATGAAATGGGGTTTAACGTCCTACTGTTCTGCCCCAACTGCATGCGACTTTGAACATACTAGGTAGCCAGTGACGCAACAAATTAAATGGGGTGATGCAGACAGGCATTCGCTACACAGTGTGTTATGAAGGAAATTTCACTCGGGCGCTACGACCCAGTCTTATTTCTAATTTCAACTGCCAAGCCATCTTTTTACGTGCACACTAATGTGTACACGGGACTGCGCTTTTTCTTCCCGTCCCAACGACTATACGTTGCTCCTTGAAAAGCCATCTGTCCTACACCACGGACAAGTAGGAAACACTCCGGAAAGTCCCGATTAACTTTCTCGACCAACAAGGGACTCGCATGTAGCGAGCCAACGTCTTACTTACCAAGCCACGGTGGCTCTCATGTATCCATGCAAGTAATGAACGATTTAAAACGCATTAAAGATCCAATATGCAAGATTAAGATAAAGAAATGAAATAAAATGGGACTTAACATCCTACCGTTGTGATCCGACTGAACTAATGAAGCGGTTTAGAAAAAGAGTTGCTAGTTCTTGCTAGTTCAAAAATGGATAATGAAAAAAGAATATATTGAAAATTACATTCAAATACTTCATATTGCAGTTTTCAAGAGGTTCCCCTAGAGTTGAATGGGGCATTGGGTCTTTAAGTAGATTCATTATACAGTTATAACAGTTCCAGTCCATTAGGGGACATGGTGGTCGATTAATAACTCTCTCTCTTTCTCTCTCTCTCTCTCTCTCTTTCTCTCTCGGCCTGCTGTCTGCCCCCTGTCTGCCCCCCCCCCATATATCCCTGTCTCTCGCTCTCTCTTTGTCTCCCCTATCTGTCTATTTGTCACTGTCTCTATCTGCCTCTCTCTCACTCCCTCTCTCTCTCTCTATATATATATATATATAATGTACGGAGGCACATACACAACTATAGAAACACTCTTAAACCAGTTAATCTTGCGCCTAACAAGGGGAATAACTCTTACATCAAACAAGGGGAATAACTCTTACATCAAACAAGGGGAATAATGATTATCTACCTACCGATTGGTTATGTATAACAGCCATATGTAAAACTGTATTACCAAAGTCATCTTTATTATAAGGGTCGGCACCATGCTCTATTAAATAGTCATAAATATCTGTATGCTGAAAACACGCAGCAAACGACAGGGGATATTCTCCATAGTAGGCATAACCTGAAAATAAACAAACCTCCAATCGGACAGGTGAAGATGGACATTCGCCATACAAAACTATTCAAGGGTTCTTGGTTTTATCGTCCAATCCGAAAGACAAAACATTATGCCCTAAAAGGGCCTCCGACCTGCATCACTGATAAGGGGAATGTAGGACGTTAAATCTCATTTTATTTCATTTTCTTCTTTACACGTGCACGCTAACGTGTACACGCGGGACCACGGTTTTCGTCCCATCTTAACGATCAGACACTGTGCGAATGACGATGGTAATTTTAAACATAACTTTAGCATCGTGTGTTTTCAGATATACTCTGTTCAACCACAGATACACATCTCTTTCCGTTCATCTAGCTGTAAATAATCTGATTCATCCAAACAGGTGTATATTTTATAACAACATGTTTAGTACTAATAAAGGTTTGACACTGTAGTTTCCGAGAAAGTTGAGTTCATAAACAGCTGATTCCAGTGAGAGGTCCAGTTGTCATCATGTACCGTTGATTCCGCCAAGAGGCCAGGAATAGCAAGAATACAAACAAGAAGGACAAGAACAAGAAGAGCGAGATGAACAAGAGCAAGAAAACGAACAAGACGAATAGGAACAACAAGAACAACAAGAACAACAAGAACAAGAACATAATAGTAAGAAGACGAACGAGAAGAACAAGAAGACGAACAAGACCAAGATGAACCTGAACAAGAAGACGAACAAGAACAAAACGAACCAGGACAAGAAAACGAACAAGACGAACAAGAACAAGAACAAGAACAAGAAAACGAACAAGAACAAGAACAAGACGAACAAGAAGACGAACAATAACAAGGGAAGAAGAGATGAGAGCATGAGTGGGGATTAGATCCAACATGGGAGTATAAACAAATATTTAATTTTTTGAATACCTTCATAGTTTGTCTGTTTTCTGTCTTTGCCCTGCTTCACATCTTCTGGTTGAAAGAACTGACCGGTGGCTCTCTGATTGACATCAGCACCATTCTCCACCAACAGCTGTACAGCTTCTAGATTACCTTTAGCTATAGCTAGATGTAAACCACCCTCACCTATAATTACACAGCAAAATCTTTCATAAATATAACACAGCAATATCCTAATCACTCTACAGTAACACAACATAAAATAACACTATAGTATTATTCATTCTAGAATAATACCCCGATACTCTTCGTGTAGGTCTGTTTGACTAACGATTTACTCACCCCGATACTCTTCGTGTAGGTATATTTGACTAACGATTTACTCACCCCGATATTCTTCGTGTTAATCTATTTGACTAACAGTTTGCTCAACCCAATACTTTTCGTGTTAGTCTATCTAAAGGAGTTGGCTAACGGTTTGATGTTTTAAGGTGTCTACCCAATCCATTACTTCTCATGTAGGCCTATTTAGTTTATTTTGTTAACTAACACCGGTACTGTTCGTATAGGCCTATTTAGGGGAGTTGGCTGTGTTAACTAACACCGGTACTGTTCGTAAAGACCTATGTAGGGGAGTTGGCTGTGTTAACTAACACCGGTACAGGTTATATAGGCCTATTTAGGGGAGTTGGCTGTGTTAACTAACACCGGTACTGTTCATATAGGCCTATTTAGGGGAGTTGGCTGTGTTAACTAACACCGGTACTGTTCATATAGGCCTATTTAGGGGAGTTAGCTGTGTTAACTAACACCGGTACTGTTCGTGTAGGCCTATTTAGGGGAGTTAGCTGTGTTAACTAACACCGGTACTGTTCGTGTAGGCCTATTTAGGGGAGTTGGCGAACGGTTTGATGTTTTAACGTGTGTACTCACCACGGTACTCGTCACCAGTGTATACATCATTAGCCATAGACGGGTGGACTTCCAGGAATATTCTAGCAATTTCCAGGTGTTCGGGTGTACCTTTCAGGAAACACAGGTGAAAAGATGTTTCACCGACGCCTCCACGTTTATTTTCCTTCCAACATTGTGGCTGACGAATGAAATAAATACTATTAGAGAAACAAATAGAAACAGAAATAAAATTAAATAGGGCCAATGAACACGGGAACACACCATACAGAGCTCTACGATGGGAATTTTTCCCGGATAGCGGTGATTCTGTCCACACATACAATGGACCTTGGGTTTGCTTCCCATCCGACCAACTAGTCTCTGTTCTTTGCCAGATAATTAGGAAAGAGGATGATTATAATTATTTCTTTGTGTGACCCTTGAAAGTTTTCATATGTCGATTAAACATACATTATGACGTCACATTAATAATGATGTCATAGTATTAATCATACATTATGCAAGAGCTAAATCTGTCTATTGCAGGTCTTTCTTTAGGCCTGAAATGATATCTAAATTATTAATTAGACATTAATTAACCTATCCAAACCATAATCAACTCTCGATGCAATCGCTAGCCTGCGATATTTACTGGATTATAATACGATCTGCTTCTCAACGCTCTCTGATGATTAAATCAAAATCAAAAAATGGATAATCGAGACTATGTTTTTTTATCGTAATGATGATCGAGGCTAGGCCCAAAATTCAATCGCTAAATTCTCGGTTCACAGTGGATCAATTTGACTGCAATTTTCAGCAAATTCCCCTTACATTATCTAGTTTTTAATTATTATAGTGAGAACTGTCAGCTCTTTATCTAATATTTCATAATGTATGCGATGAGTGAATGCGATGAATGACCGATGAATGAATGCAATAAATACGGTTTACCGTCCTACTGTTCTGTACCAGACGTGCTAATGAAAGTAATGAAAATGGTTATATCACTACACTTAAATTGAAAGTAGACTTTTACCTTTATTTGGTTTGCTGTGACTTCAACGTTGAACTTCCTTGAGCGCGATAATGCTGATACTGATCTCTGGATAGCTGTCGATATAACCCGGAATCTACCGAGTTCTCTCTGTTCTTCAATCTGTTCCTAAACAAATATTATTGAGAGAAAACAGTTTAACGTCCTTCTGTTCTGCTCCGACTGAGCTAATGAAAGAGAGAAATGGGCCGGGTTTAACGTTTACTCGACTAAAACTAGGTCATTTCGAGACTAACACATGGTTCAATTTTATTTCAATAATTTGCTTGCGCGTAAAGGTCTTTAGCAGTGGCAGGAAACCGGAGGACTCGGAGAACCCCCACGAGGTTGGACAGGCGACCCTACTCCTTGGCACGTACAACTAAGTTGACTAAATGACGGACCTTATGATTGAACGCGAACGCGCTAACCATTCGGCCATCCAACACCCCTCGTATGGGTAAGAGAATGAAGATAAGCCTTTTTTTTGGGGGGGGGGGGGGTGAATGGTTAGCGTGCGCGCGCTGTTTCATAATGTCTGTCATTGAGTCGACTGGCGTGGTTTCGAATTCCCTGTTGTATGTGACAAGGATTAGGGCCGCCTGTCCAACCTCGTGGGTTTTTTCCGGATCCCCCGGTTTCCTCCCACTCCTAAAGACCCCTACGCGCAAGCGAATTATTGAAATTAAATTAAACCTTATGTTAGTCCCGAAATGCCCTAGTTTGTGTCGAGTTGATGTTAAACCCCATCTCTCTCTCCCCCCCCCCCCCCTCTCTCTCTCTCAACGCTAGTTGACTCAATGACAGACATTATGATACAGCGCGCACGTGCTAACCATTCGGCCATCCCCCCCCCCCCCCCCCGCGTTTCATGACAGATCTTTGTTGTTAAATAGAGGCAGTGTTTAATGAGTGTACGTACTATACACATTTCGTCTTGGCCTGTAATATATTTCGATGTTATTTCATCTGCGATCATATCTCTAACTTTCTTCCGTCCATTCTCATCTCGCAACAGATCCAGCAATATCCCCGTGCCATCTAAATTGACATAGGAATACACCGGATTGGATAGAGTTTCTCTATTTTGTATTTTCCATGTATGGCAATCTTTATTACGACTAAACAAATCCGCTATGTTCCCCATGACCTGTCGTTTGTTGTTAATATCAAGAAGTGGTGTAGTAGATCTTCTTTTTTTAAAACCTATATAAAAAAAAATATTTGATTAAAATACAAAACGCATAACAGAATGTTTCCTTTTTTAAAATACAAAACACATAACAGAATTTTCCCTTTAACGACATAATTTAGAGTGAGTGGTGGGGTGTACAAAACCGTAATCCTCCCCCACGTATCAAGAGAGAGAGAGAGAGAGAGAGAGAGAGAGAGAGAGAGAAATGGGGTTTAACGTCCACTCGACACAAACTAGGTCATTTCGGGACGAACAGATGGTTTTTAATTTTATTTCAATAATTCGCCTGTGCGTAGGGGTCTTTAGCAGTGGGAGGAAACCAGAGGACCCGGAGAAAACCCACGAGGTTGGACAGGCGACCCTACTCCTTGTCACATACAACCGGGGATTCGACCCCCACGTATCAAATGTTCCTGTTATCAATAAGGAAATGAAATGGGGTTTAACGTCCTATGATTCTGTTCCGACCGGGCTAATTGAAGACGGACGCCATGTTGTGTGTCATTTGAGAAATTTTGCCTGTAAAGCGGCGCTGCGGCCTACTCTTATTTCGAATCCCAAATGTCAAGGGCTCTTTTACGTGCACGCAAATTTGAAGAACTAGATGTTGTCCGTTGCCAGGCCCTCCGTGCATCAATGATAAGTGGAAACCACGCCGGAATATCCCGATGAACATTTTCGGCCAACACCGGGTTCGAACACGGGACCTATAGATTAGTGATTTAACGTCTTGTTGGAAGTGGTTCTTTAGTGAACACTTTGTTTGAAATGTTCCTAGATTTATGTTAGACATCAACATCTTGGTGGAGTTGTTTTTAACACTTTGTTTGAAATGTTCCTAGAAGTGTCAGAAATAAACACTTCAGAGGAAGTGTACGGGTATGTTCTGTTTACATAATTCGCGATCCCTTCGTTCGTTCGTTTCTGGAGTTTAACGTCCACTTCCACCTAAGGTGATATCGTAGACAAAGCGATCCCTTGTGGTCAGTCACCTTTCTATACACATGGTCAGTCATAACGCCATGACGTACTTCTATACACTGGTCAATCATAACGTCATACACATGGTCAGGCATAACGCCATAAGCTAACGCCCTCTGGTGTAATAATGTTGATAATTCATTATATTTTTCTGGAACATTTTCATTTCAAGATTTTAACTTCAAGACTTTTTGAAACGTAGAAAATATTTTCATGAGTTAAAATTCCAGATTTTTTTTAAGATACTTTCAGAAACCAATGAATTGATTTCTTTGTCGTGTAAAATTAAGAAATTATTTTTTAATTTTAATATTTAATGATATATAAAAGTTACCGATAAAACGCCGAAAATGAAACATAAAGTCAATTTTTTGTTTAAAATGTTGATTTTGTGCATGAAATGTTGACATAAGAATGTAGAAACAAGAATCATTAGTTTAGAATGTTGCGTTCGTGTCTAAAATGTTCAAACTGGAATGTAAAAACAAGAATCATGAATATTGTCCCATTTGGTCTTCCATAGTATAATGTCATGACACACTTCTATACACGTGGTCAATCATAACGTCATGACATACTTCTACACACACATTGTACTAATTAAATTACAAATCACTGGCAATCTGATTAAAGGAGCTAAATCGCTAATATTTGGGACCTAGAAACTGACCCACATGGGTCGAAACGCATATAATAATGTAATCTGATTGTATATAAACTGATTTACATTCAATTGTTTCCTTTTTGACTCTAATTTCAAATCAGTTATGTCCAGCGAAATACGGCATACGTGTCTCAACCCTATAGCAATTTCTAGCGTCTGGTTATTCCAGTCTATTAAGCAGGCTCTCCAGTTGAATATGTCTAGCCTCGTTCTTTCTGGTCACTTGTTGCAAATGACACTAAAACACAATATGGTACACGATTCGTGTACCAATGGTAAAATGTTTATTTTGTCTTAAATATTGGATATCAGAAGCCTGCCTTTTCCTGGTAAGATCACAACATCAATTTTGATTTGAATTGACAAATAATTCGTATTTTCAACGTGTAAGACTTTGGATGATATTGAGTTAGAGACTTACCTACTTTAAATAACTGCAGTATCATCGTAACGCATGTGTACACTGGGCAGTTCGGAGTCCCACTCTAACGACTAGAGTGTCCGCAGTTTAAAAAACCCTAATCAATCATGGGTATACTGGGCAGTCCGAGGCCCCACGCCAACGACTAGAGTGTCCGTAGTTTAAAAAACCCTAATCAATCATGAACGATCAAGGAAAAACTGATGACTGGGGAATACTTGTCAGCGATATCACCCTCAATGGAAGAGGACTTTATAACCTCAGTAATAGTAGTAGTAGTAGTACCCTTTCCTATGTACACGCTTTCGTGGCGTTTCCGCACGCGTTTCCGCCGGTTACATACAAACGGCGCCGTTACATTTGTATTAGACCGACTTTTCGAAGGCGACAACGCGTGCGGACCCGCAGTGAAAACGAGTATGTACATAGAAAACGCGTACATGGAAAACGCGCCTAAATGGATCTTCTAATCTCAACATGTTTCACGGTGTAACTTACTACTATACAATCATACTAGTAAATACATAAACAATTACACAAGACAAACCCACGGACACAGACATTAAAAACAATAAATAAATATAAGGCGTTTTTGTGAGTCGATTAGATTAGGTTTTGATTTGCTAGTACGATTTGGTATGATTTCGATTTGATTAGCTATGGTCCACAAATGTGAAATTTGATAATTACGATTTGGTAAGATGGCTGCCACCACGGACACCGATCAGAAAAAAAATTGTCTCTGCTAACATGACGAGGGGGGCGTGTGTTTCACGTGTAGTCCAAGTTACCTACAGATTACAGTGACACTGCTGGCACCCAGAGGGCCTAAAATTGCTTAGAGCCAGAGGTGATCTAACATTCTTGTGGACTATAAAGTTAACATTAAAGGAGCTAAATCGCTAACATTTGGGACCTAGAAATTGACAAAAGTGGGTCGCAATGCATATAATACTGTAATATGAATGTATATAAACTGATTTACATTCAATGGTTTCCGTTTTTACTCCAATTTCAAATCCGTTATGTTCGGCGAAATAAGCCAGCAGTCTCAAGCGAGTGCAAATTTCTAGCGTCTGGTTATTCCAGTTTACATACGCCGTTTGATTTGGTGCAATGTGTCTAGCCTCGTCCCTCGAGTCTCTTGATACAACTAGGGCTGAAGCGCATTATGGTACACGATTAGTGTACCAATGGTAAAATGTTTATTTTGTCTTAAATATTGGATATCAAAAGCCCATCTTTTCCCGTTAAGATCACAACATGAATGTTGATATAATTTGACAAATAAATCGTGTTTTCAATGTTGAAGATTTTGGATGATATTGAGTTAGAGACTTAGCTACTTTAAACACATCAAATGCGTTTTAAAAAAACATTTTTTATGGAGAAAAACAACAATAAGCATTAAAAATTACTTACGATGTCGAACATTCCGCCATTTTGAAAACGTCAAATCTAATCGCCTAAACACCTCCTGGGACGATTAGGTCGATTTGCCTAATCAGTTGAGTTAAATCGTCTCACAAATGTAACGATTAGCATAATCAACTTGGTTCACAAATGCGTATAATAGCTAATCGGTCTAATCTAATCGGTTCACAAAAACGCCTATAAACAATTACGCAAGACAAACCCACGGACACAGACATTACAAACAATACACAAATATAAACAATTACGCAAGACAAATGAAATTAAATGAAATGAAATGGGGTTTAACGTCCTACTGTTCTGCTCCTATACTGGGCTAATAGGGGCATACGCCATACAGTGTGCTATGAGGGAAATTTTGTCCGGACAGCGGCGCTACGGCCTACTCTTATATGGAATTCCAACTGCCAAGGGATCTTTTACGTGCATTCCAATGTATACACGGGACCTCGGTTTTTCGCCTCATCCGAAGGACTAGACAACTGTCCTTGTCAGGACGCAAGACAAACCCACGGACACAGACATTACAAACAATAAACAACATATATATATATATATGTATATCAGATAAGGTTAATGGGTCGTGTGAACAGTCGTAAGCGTCGAGTGTGTTGTGTATATCAAGTGAATGGATGCTGTAGCTTCCTGTGCGTTGTAAAGTACGGGTCATGTAGTGACAGATTATCATTCATATCTGTATAGGTTATTTGATAGCAATATATATATAATAATATACAGCTTTATGGATAACATTCACTAGATTTATTAACTGAGAGAGAGAGAGAGAGAGATAGAGAGAGAGAGAGAGGGATGGGGTTTAACGTCCACTCGACACAAACTAGTTCATTTCGAGTCTAACATATGGTTTAATTTTATTTCCATAATGCGCTTGCGCGTAGGGATCTTTAGCAGTGCGAGGAAACCTGGAGGACCTGGAAAAAACCCACGAGGTTGGACAGGCGACCCTACAACCGGGGAATCGAAACCACGCCAGTTGACTCAATGACAGGCTTTATGATACAGCGCACGCGTGCTAACCATTCAGCCATCCACCTCCCCCCTCCCCATCGATATGGGTATATAACCTTTAAAGGCATTTAGTGATAACATTATATAATAACAGACAACTTTATGGATTACATTCAGTGTAGTTTAATGGTCGAAATGAAATGAAATGGGCTTTAAGTTTAACGTCCTATACTGTTTAGTCCCGAACTTGGCTAAAGAAGACGGACATATGCCATACAGTGTGCTATGAGGGAAATTTTGTCCGGATAGCCGCACTACGGCCTACTCTTATATCGAATTCCAACTTCCAAGGGATATTTTACGTGCACACCAATGTGTACACGGAACCCCGGTTTTTCGCCCCATCCGAACGACTAGAAAGATGTCCTTGTCAGGCCTTCTGTTCTGCATCACTGACAAGGGGGAACCACGCCTGAAAATCTGGATGAACTTTCTCGGCCAATGCAGGGGTCGAACACCCGTTCTCCAGACTAGCGAGCCAGCGTCTTACCCACTTAGCCACCGTGATCCCCCAATACATGTTGTCTATAAAGCTATTTGTTATTATGCACATGTAAGTCTCTCACCGTTATCAAGCGTTGTAGTTATCAAACCTAGTGAATAATCTCCGTTATCAAGCGTTGTAGTTATCAAACCTAGTGAATAATCTCAATAAAGCTATTCTATCTGTTATCATATAAGTCATAGAAGAATAAAAGTAATATCAAGTCTTACCTGAATAGCATCATAATCAACACCTGTAATACGTGATGTTTTATAATTAACACCTGTAATATGTGGTGTTGGTAAGAACCAAGCAAGCACTGTAAAGAAAATTAACCGAGCTTGACATCTCTGTCTAATATGTCGTTATGTACAAACCCGGATTTAGATTAGGTGGACTATACGCATCATGTATAGTACAGTAGTTGTATATAGATAATATATAGACGATTTGCCAACTGCACGTTATAGTTTAAATACAAGGTCTAAAGCGTTTCCGATTGCCATGCCCAGTTTTAAAATAGCGGAGAGTGGATGGCGGAGATAATAGGGGAGGGGGCGGGGGTTTCGGGGCCCCTTATAAGTGCACGATTCCACTTTTATATACTTTTTTTCAATATGGGAGGAAACCGGAGGATCCGGAGAAAACCCATGAGGTTGGACAGGCGACCCTACTCCTTGTCATGTACAACCGGGAATTCGAAACCACGCCAGTTGACTCAATGAAAGGCCTTATGATACAGCGCGCACGTGCTAACCATTCAGCCATCCAACCCCCTTCTTTATAAAGAAATATTAATTCGTTGTTTCGTTTAAACGAATAAATTATTTCGTTAAATCGAATTGATCGATTCACAATCTAACACGTCGTCGACTTATGAATTCAATGCTTCACACACCCAATTTGAAAATAAAGTACGTTACAGGGACGTAACTAGCTCAGAGCAACGAGAGGTGGGGGTGTTCTCTGGGGGTGTTCTCTGAGGGTGCTGTAAAATTGACGGACAATCACAGGCTTGGTGGAGAAGGGGGGGGGGGGCTCGAAACTTTTCAAGCCTCGATCTTTATCGTTTCCTCATTAACCCCAATCCTTCTCACCAATTTATTAAGAAAAAGAACTGATTTAAACTATATCATCATTCTTGTTCACAAGGGTTTCAAAATAGGGGGCGGAGTAGCACGGGAACGGAAGGTTTCGGAAATCAAAAAATAAACACAGTTCATCACTTTATGTCACCAGTGCTTCACATCTAGGTTTTCGGCAAAGATGGCGCATCGCTGAAAAATCGATAGGGCTCGTCCTCTAATGACACCAATGCCTCACAACCGATACAAACTGTAGCCTTTATCGCGTTAACAATTTGCTGACGGATTGAAGGAACAGGCGGATCGATGGACCCACGGGCTGACGACGTGCAATCACTGTTCATAATCATTAATCATAACAGAGTATTTAACACTGGAAATATTACTCGCACTTCTACTACTGACTTGAGATTTACGAACGGCTGACCAGGCTGAGGATTGTCTTTTCACAGAACCGCCATCGGAATTTTCACCTTGGCTTCCCTAATCATATCAGCTTGTTTTCGACAATGTTTCACTCGTTATGTTGGTCTATGCATGTTTATAATTACGTGAAATACATCTAATGTCAATTGCGAAATCAATGAAAATTTTTTAAAAATATGAAATTACTTACGGGATTCTTTCGCACAACAAATGTAAACAAACCTCACGTGTGTAAAAGGACGAAACATCATGTCAACCCTTTGCCAGAGTATGGAAAGCTTTTAAGGACAAACGCGTAGATGAAGAAGAGTGCAATTTATTTACATAAAAATAAAGGCAAGCATTTTTGACACCACCTGATAATTATCAAAAAAGTTTTACTTTATTATTTTGTGGCCTGGATTTTTGGCTGGCCCTAAGGCACGTGTCTTATTTTCCTTATGATTAATCCAGCACTGGGCCTGTCATGTGAATAAATGTCTAAACAATAAATTATATAGCATTTGAGACCAAAAGAAAGGCCTACAATAGGCAGCTTTCGGGCCTACGTAATGGGGTTAAACGTCCTACTGTTCTGCTCCGACTGGGCTAATGAAGCCGGGCATATGCCATACAGTGTGCTATGAGAGAAAATTTGCAAGGACAGGGCACTACTGCTTACCCGTTTATCGAATTCTAAGTGCCAAGGGATCTTTCACGTGTTCGACCATGTGTACACGGGACCTCGGTCTTTCGTCCAATCCAAACGACTATAATACGCTATAGGCTCTCTGTCCTGCACCACTGTCCATTGACAAGTGGGAACCACGCTGTAAAATCCCAATGAACTTTCTCGGCCAATTCAGGGATCGAACACGTGACCTCCAGATTAGCTTAAGCCAACGTCTTAACACTAATATTATAGCAGCCGTGGCTAAGTAACTTTGGGGGTCCGGAATCGATAAAGATTTTGTCCTAGAAAGTTCTCCAGTCTGGCTTCTCTTTGTAAATGGTACGGGGCGGGTTGCCTGAGAGAGAACGGTATCTAGTCGTTCGAATGGGACGAAAACTGAAGTCCCGTGTACACATTAACACACACATAAATGAATCCTTGCTAGTGGCAATTCTAAGAACATTAGTTAAGAGAGAGAGAGAGATGGGGTTTAACGTCCACTCGACTCAAACTAGGTCATTTCGGGACTAACATATGGTTTAATTTTATTTCAATAATTCGCGTATGAGAGAGAGAGAGAGAAAAAAAAAAGGGAGAGAGAGAGAGAGAGAGAGAAATGGGGTTTAACGTCCACTCGACTCAAACTAGGTCATTTCGGGACTAACGTATGGTTTAATTTTATTTCAATAATTCGCGTAGGGGTCTTTAGCAGTGGGAGGAAACCGGAGGATCCGGAGAAAACCCACGAGGCTGGACAGGCGACCCTACTCCTTGTCACGTACAACCGGGGATTCGAAACCACGCCAGCTGACTCAATGACAGGTCTTATGATACAGCACGCACGTGCTAACCATTCGGCCATATCATTTCTCTCTCTGGCACTTGCCCCCGGTGTTGACGGCGGCCCGTAGCCAGAGGGGAGCAATGCCCCCGAAAAATGTTTTGTCCCACCGAAAAAAAAATTTTCCGACCATACCTCTAAAATACCCACTGTAGACTGTGCCGGGTGTGCCCCCCCCCCACCCTCCCCCATCCTAAAAACTTAACTGGCCCTCCGAAGCTAGCAAGCTGGCTACGGGCCTGGTTGACGGAGAAAGCTTCCATCGATTTTGCAGCACGGTTTCCCAATGTCAGTCCAGTGTAGGATGCGGCACTGATCGCCTCGCCAGAAACAGTGTCTAGTCCATCGGATTGTACAGAAAAAAACGAGTGGGGTTTAACGTCCACTCGACACAAACTCAAACTATGTTTTTTTTCGAACTAAGATCTGGTTCAATTTTATTTCAATAATTCGCAAGCGCGTGTGCCCCGTACAGTGGGGAATTGAAAACACTCTACTTGACTAAATTGTTATATAGGCCTACCATTCGGACATTCAACCCCGTTGACAGTTGGAATTCGATATAGGCCTATAAGAGTAGGTTGGAACGCAATTTCCCCCATAGCACATTGTGGGGGTTGGATGGCGGAATGGTTAGCATGTGCGCGATGTATCATCAGGTCTGTCATTGAGTCAACTGGCGTGGTTTCGAATCCCCGGTTGTACGTGACAAGGAGTAGGGTTGCCTCCGGTTTCCACCCACTCTAAAGACCCCTACGCAAGCGAATTATTGAAATAAAATTAAACCACATGTAAGTCCCGAAAGGACCTAGTCTGTGTCGCATGGACGTTAAACCCCATTTCCCTCTCTCTCTCTCTCTCTCTCTTAGCACATTGTATGGCGTAAGGTCAGTCGGTGCAGAAAACCCCAATTTCATTTAATATCATTTCTTCGTTTCGTTTAAAGGGTGGGCGAAGAATTTGAGTTCTATAATAAACGATCACGTGACTCTCAAAATGGCGCGTACATTTCAAAGCAAAAACACGAGACTGTGTCGTCTTCTTCCTTGATTGTTTGTATTCTGTATTACAAGATGAAGTTTAGAGGGAAATTAGTTGATGTAGGGTGCATCCAACATTTTACAAGTAAGTTGGCACTCTCATAACTAATTATATGATGACTGCTGCAAACAAGTTGACTTAAAATTCCTCGCAGTTGGACTTGTCTAATAATGCAGTCATCACGACATCACAGAAAACTTTTCTGCATTGGGGCATAATGACAATGATGTTTACATTTCGATTCCATTTTTAAAGCAAATCCCTTCATCTCTCTCAATTGACAATAAAGGCCAGAAGATATGGCTACTTAACAAATTATTGTGCATGAGTAATTACTCAATTATACAAATCTACCTGCCCGTTAAGCCAGGTGTAGTGTTGGCATGTTGGTCACTAAAACATCGACTGTATGTTGGGGGTTACTGGGCGACCCTTCCACTCATCTCGGCATCAAGCAGTGATTGCTTACTTTGAAGTAAAGATGTCCGTCAAAGTATTAACAGAAAAGTATTATTGCCAATTGATGTCTGGCGTAGGAATAACACGAAGTGCATCATTGGAAATGAAATGGGCTTTCACTTCCTTCTGTTCTGCTCCGCTCCTCTATTGGGCTATAAATAAAGACGGGCACATGCGACGAAATGTGCCATGAGGGAAATTTTGGCTTACTCATATCAAATTCCAAATGCCAAGGGATCTTTTACATGCCCTCCAGTCCAATGTATGCATGGGACCTCATTTTTTTGTCCCATCCGAACACCTAGACAACTGTCCTAGTCAGGCCCTCTGTCCTCCACCACTTACAAGGGGAAGCCATGCTGGAAAATCTCCAACTTTCTCAGGTAACTGCAGGAGCGAACCCGCGACCTCCAGGCTAGCGAAGCAGTGTCTTACCCACTTAGCCACCGTGGCTCCCTATGCATCAATTGCTTTTATGACCAGTTGGAAATGTAAACAGTCAAACGTATTTAAGACGATAGACTACTTTTATCGCTTCCTGCAATAGGGGACATGCCCGATTTTTAAAGCGAAAACTAAAATTGAATGTTTGTATATTTACAGGAATTGTAGGAACTGTATCGAAGATGATAAAATCCTGTGTTTTAAGAATCACTGTAGATAAGTTATATTTTATTCTGACAGAGCAGGCTGTTAGTGGCGGTGTTCAAATCTGGTGTGAATTACCACAGGTTGGTATCCCCATGATTTTCCGGCGTGGTTTCCCCCTTGTCAGTGATGCAGGACGGAGGGCCTGACAAGGACAGCTGTCTAGTCGTTCGGATGGGACGAAAAACCGAGGTCCCGTGTACAAATTGGCGTACACATAAATGATCCCTTGGCAATTGGAATTCGATATACATGTAAGAGTAGGCCGTAGCGCCTCTGCCCGGGCAAAATTTCCCTCATAGCACACTGTACATGTATGGCGTATGCCCGTCTTCATTAGCCCAGTTTAGGAGCGAAACAGTAGGACGTTAAACCCCATTTCATTTCATTTGTATCCCCACTTTCTCACTATTGACATTTGTGGGGGTTGAGTGGCTGAATGGTCAATCTGATTCAAATACAGATCTATATTTCGTTTCATTTTTTTTATACTTTCGATGGTCTACACTACATGACATTAAGATCTGACTGGTTGTAACGATATGTCGCGTCAAAGGTCATACGAGCGGATTTTGACCCTATGTTACTAGTGGGTTACCCACTGTTCCGTGCAAAACATGCCTAAAGCTCGCCGTAACAGGCCGTTTCATTGGCTAATTCCTCACACCATTCAGAACACGTCAATGATAACAACTCTTCCAAATCCTAGTGTACATGTAGTAAAGACAAGTAAAACGAAATTTTGAAGTATAAAAATGAAATACGAAATAGGATTTGTGTTTTAATCAGATTGGGTTGAATGGTCGATCATAAGAGCTGTCATTACGTCAAGTGGCGTGGTTTCTTTTCCCAAGGGGGGGTGGATGGCCGAATGGTTAGCACGTGCACGCTGTATCATAAAGCCTGTCATTGAGTCAACTGGCCTGGTTTCGAATCCCCAGTTGTACGTGACAAGGAGTAGGGTCGCTTGTCCAACCTCATGGGTTTTCTCCGGGTCCTCCGGTTTCTTCCCACTCCTACATGTAAGGACCCCTACGTGCAAGCGAATTATTGAAATAAAATTAAACCATATGTTGGTCCCGAAATGACCACCTTGAGTGTTATCTCCGATGTTCTCGGGTTTCCTACATGCCGCCAGTTATTGTCCCGCACCTTTCGAAGAAAGCAGGGGACTATTAAAATGGGGTCCGTCGTCTGTCTGTCTGTCACACTTTTTGGGACACAATAACTCTTTTCTAATTGAGCTAGAATGTTCAAACTTGGTGTATGTGTTTATTAGGTCAATGCCTTGATGGAGTTCGGAGATGAGCATTTTCCGCTTAGGGTAAGCAGAGATAAGCAATTTGATTGGTTGATGCTTTGGGACACGATAACTTTAGTTCTAATTAAGTGAGAGTGATGAAACTTGGTGTATAGTTTCATTACATCAATACTTTGACTAAGTTCAAAAATGAACTTTTTCTGCTCAGGGTAAGCAGAGCGAAAAGCAATTTGATTGGTCGAGACTTTGGACCACAATAACTCTTAATTCTAATTGAGTTAGAATGATCACACTTCGCATAAATGTCTATTAGGTGAATGCCTTGATGGAGTTCGAAGATGAGAATTTTCTGCTTAGGGTAAGCAGAGATAAGCAATTTGATTGGTTGATGCTTTGGGACACAATTACTTTAGTTCTAATAAAGAGAAAGTTATGAAACTTGGTGTATAGCTTTATTACATCAATACCTTGACTAAGTTCGATAAGGAACATTTTCTGTTGAGGGTAAGCAGAGCGATAAGCAATTTGATTGGTCGAGACTTTGGAACACAATAACTCTCCTTCTAATTGAGGTAGAATGTTCAAAATTGGTGTAGGCTTTCATTAGGTGAATGCCTTGACGGAGCTCGATGATGAACATTGTCTGCTTACGGTAAGCATAGATAAAAAATCTGATTGGTTGATGCTTTGGGGGACGATAACTTTGGTTATAATGAAGTGAGAGCAATGAAACTTCGAATATACATGTAGATTTATTATATCACTACCTTGACAAAGTTCGATGGTGGGTATTTTCTGCTTAGGCTAAGGAGCAATAAGCAATTTGATTGGTCAAGACTTTTGAACATAACAACCCTGCTTTTAATTAAAGTAGAATGTTTAAACTTGATGTAGATGTTCATTAGGTGAATGTCTTGACTGAGTTCAATGATTAACATTTCGAGCTGAAGCTAAGCAGAGCTAGTCAATTTCATTGGTCAATGCTTTGGGATAAGATAATCTTGATTCCATCTGATCGAGCGTGATGAAACTTAGTGTATAGTTTGTTGCTTGATACTTTTGAAAAAGAATAAATGTGCGATTAATTAATATTTATTTTGGGATTTCGGCGGGGGACATCGGCCTCAAACTCACTGTTGGCTTGTTGAAATAAAATTGAACCATAGTAGGCACCAAAATTGTTTGAGTCGAGTGGCCAATAAACACTTTTTATCTCTCTCTTAATGGGGTGCATGTGGTTCGATTTTATTTCAATAATTCGCTTGATGGGGTCTTTAGCAGTAGGGCGAAACAGGACCTAGAGTAGTCCCACAAGGCGACCCTATTCCTTGTCACATACATGAAATGGGGTTTAACGTCCTACTGTTCTGCTCCTAAACTGGGCTAATGAAGACGGGCATACGTCATACAGTGTGCTGTGAGGGAAATTTTGCCTGGGCAGCGGCGCTATGGCCTACTCTTATATCGAATTCCAACTGCCAAGGGATATTTTACGTGCATGCCAATATGTACACAGGACCTCGTTTTTTTGTCCCATCCAGCAGATTGGATTCTAATCCAGTTACAATCCGACACATAAGATGACATCTAGAGTTGATCAAGGTCTTTTCATGTTAATAAAAGTCTAATAAATAATTTAGATAACGTTTCAGGCCTGCAATAGACAGATTTAACTTGCATAATGTATGTTAAAAGAGAACAGCAAAGTCTGATTAATTACCAAATATATCTGTAACAGGAAATATCCATATAAAAGCATCCAGAAATGTTTCCTGTGTTTAATTTTCAATTATACATCCCTGTTATTGACAATCATACACTTATTGTATTGTGGTGCTCGTCTGTCCAAACGTGACAAGGAGTAGGGTCGCCTGTCCAACCTCGTGAATTTCTCCGGGTCCTCAGGTTTACTCCCACTGCTAAAGACCCTTACGCGCAAGCGAATTATGTAAATAAAATTAAACCATATGTTAGTCCCGAAATGACCTAGTTTGTGTCGAGTGGACGTTAAACCCCATTTCTCTCTCTCTCTCCCAGAGAGTAGGATGTTACATGTAAACCCCATTTCATACATTTCCATTCTGAATTCATCAATTATTATCGTTTTTATTTTTTATCCACCAGGGTCATTTTTTTGATGAGTTCGCCATGGAAGGGGTATCAGAAGAAGACAATGAAATATTTTTAGAATTGTCCCCAGAAAATCTTCTCCGTGCAATGAAAACAACACAGACGGCGAAATGGGTGAAATTAAAATTGACCAAGAAACATCTGCCATGTTTGACTGTTGAAGGAGATCTGGTAGGTGCACGTCTTTTAAAGTTGTGCGGAGGGTCTGACAAGAACAACTGTCTAGTTGTTCGAATGGGCCAAAAAACTGAGGTCCCGTGCACAGATTGGTGTGCACGTAAAAGATCCCTTGGCTGTCCTTGCAAAATTTCCCCTATAACTCACTGCATGATGTATGCCCATCTTTATTAGTCCAGAGGGGTGGGGGGGTGGATTGCCGAATGGTTAGCAGGTGCGCGCTGTATCATGCAGTCTGTCATTGAGTCAACTGGGGGCCATACTATATACCGGAAAACACAGGAAAACACCGGAAAACAACCGGAAAACACCATTTTATACTGAATACCGGAAAACACCGGAAAAACACTAAATATCGGAAAACATCCTAAATACCGGAAAACACCCTAAATAGGTAACCCGGAGCCTGGTTCTCTGTGTGCGGTTTTGGACCAAGTGAGCGCCGATGAAGGAAGGTCAAGGTCATTACGATGTTCGTTTTACAAATAGCCCCCCCCCCCCAAAGAAAATATAAAAATTTCTGATTTTTTTTCTCTAAAATTTTAGTGATACCTATTATGTTTTGAATGTTTTAAAAGACACAATCAGTCTACCTCCATCATTGACCATATTTTATTTTGTATTTGAATTTTAATTTTAGTTTTCAGTAAATTTCAGTAGATTTCAGTATTTCATTAGATTAAACACTGCCCTTGGAGGGCCCCATTATATGCCGGTTGCGCCGGTCTCCTGGTTCTTACCAGTAACGCTGGCATCAGCGTGGTACGAATTAGTGGAAGGCATGACTAGGCCAACTCCTCCCTAGGTTACAAAAAATCGCATCATAAAACAGCAAGTAATATCAAAAGCGAGTTAATAAATCTCTGAATAGTTAGAGTTGAAGTTCCAGGTTTAACCGCTATGTGTCCTAATCACCAAACGAAATGGATGCCAAGCAATTCTCGGACAGGCTGTAATCTGAAAAGTGTTTATCCTTTCCAAGAGCTATCCATCTCGTTGGAAGGGCTAAAAATCTATTTGTTTCTGAGCTTACTTTCATTCCAGGGTCAAATATAATCACTTGAACCATAATAATATTCAACAAATTCCATGATATTCCGAGGGTCGCACACAGGATTTCTTTCTGGATTACTTTTCGAGCCTTTTTTCCCCAACTTGTTGACCAGTTTTCCTTGAGAAAACCCCAACTTTCGCGCCAATTGACAGGACAAATAAACTACATAATCTATCTTACTGCATTGACGGGAAGTGGTAAGCTGGACGTCTGTGAAAAGGGTTGATCGATAAATTTTCAAGGAAGCAATTGTTGTTTTTGTTTGTGAAATAGAGGACTCTAGCCGATGAGGCTACTTTCCCCCCGAGAATCTCAGGCAACCAATTTGTTTTATGTACTACTATCGTAATAAAACATTTCTATGTTAACCACTTCCTGGTGGCTGAAGACTTACACCGAATGCGTATTCGGAAAAAAATGTCCCTGAGAAAATGTTTTTTCCGACAATCGATATTCGAGATGTCTTCTTTTGCACAAATTATGCTGCACTGTGTAAGAACTTTCATCCTTTGATCTGAAGATTGTAGATGGAAAAGTATCATTTGCACTATTTCAAAGTAAAACTGCATTTTCGTATATCATCCCGTAATTTGTGATTAATGACAATGACTGTGGAAATAATATGGGTTGAGGAACATAAGATCTATGTTCGTCACGTGACTGGACAATTTCACCCCCGTCCCACCTTGACGATGACCCTCCCGGAGCGGCGCGGTGCGGCGCGCTATCTAAAAAAATTTCGGGCACAGTTTACTCTTCTAAGTTTTCCGGTAGCTATTTAGTAACCCGGAGTTTGGTCCTCGTGTGTGGTTTTGGACCAGGTGAGCGCTGATGAAAAAAGTTCATTAACATAAAAGCGAGCGATCGCCTACGGTCAAAGAAAAATTTCTTTTCAGATTTATTTTTAACAATTTCTTCTCCTAAATTTCTCTCTGTAAAATTATTTTCTACGGAATGTTTTTTTGTAAAACCAATTTTTCGGAAAAATTCGAATTTTTTTTTTGTGACAGAAAATTTTTTTCGGGAAAAAAATTTTGGAGAAAAAAAAATCGGGAATTTTTTTTGGGGGGTGGGGGCTATTTGTAAAACGAACATCGTAATGACCTTGACCTTCCTTCATTGGCGCTCACTTGGTCAAAAACCGCACACAGAGGACCAGGCTCCGGGTTACCTATTTAGGGTGTTTTCCGGTATTTAGGATGTTTTCCGGTATTTAGTGTTTTTCCGGTGTTTTCCGGTATTCAGTATAAAATGGTGTTTTCCGGTTGTTTTCCGGTGTTTTCCGGTATATAGTATTGCCGGTCAACTGGCGTGGTTTAAATTCCCTGGTTGTACGTGACAAGGAGTAGGGTGGCCTGTCCAACCTCGTGGGTTTTCTCCGGGTCCTCCGGTTTCCTCCCACTGCTAAAGACCTCTACGCGCAAGCGAATTATTGAAATAAAATTAAACCATATGTTAGTCCTTAAATGACCTAGCTTGTGTCGAGTGGACGTTAAACCCCATTCCTCTCTCTCTCTCAACTTTTACAATATTAACTTACAAATTGTTGAAAATGTGACAGATTGTAAGGGAGGTATCACTGTAATCCAGGTATTATTTAATCTTGTGTATCTAGCACAAATTTCTTTCACATTCATTTAATATCAAATCTTCGTTTTAAAATTTGTTAAAATTGTTTAAAATCACCAAAAATCATCTAATTTGTACTTGTGTCCAGTTTAAAGCTGACCATTCAATTTTGAAAATGAGTGTCCAATGTACAAGGGTTTAATATCTCGATCACTGTTAAAAAAGTAAACAACCCAATTGATTATTGATTAATTTTGGAACAGTGGTCAGGAAATTAGATACTTGTAAATTGGACACTCATTATCAAAATTAATCAGAGACTCAAATGAGGATCAGGGGGGTTGGATGGCTGAATGGTTAGTGTGCGCACGCTGTATCATAAAGTCTGTCATTGAGTCGACTGGCATGGTTTCGAATCCCCGGTTGTACGTGACAAGGGGTAGGGTAGCCTGTCCAACCTCGTGGGTTTTCTCCGGTTTCCTCCCACTGTTTATTTATTGAAATAAAATTAAAAACCATATGTTAGTCCTGAAATGACCTAGTTTGTGTCGAGTGGACGTTAAACCCCATTTCTCTCTTACTTTCAAATGAGGATCAGAGGCTTAAGTTGTCTGTAAGCAAAATAGGGAATTTTATTTTATTTTTTTCGTACAGCCAACGATTGGATCTCATCAGCGATTGGTTGTACATGATATACCTGTGCATGTGGTTGCTAGGAGACACTGGCAAGACTACCAGGAACCACTGATGCCAGAAATAGACGTAAGATATTTATTAAAGCTTACTGCATATATATATATCTAAATTTGATATTTTATTTTTGTTAGTAATTTTTTTTTTTTTTTCAAAAGTCAATATTTTAGATGCCTTATATTAAGATTTGTTTTGAGTTTTTAATTTGCCAAAAAGTCTTGACTCATTTACATTTCGGTATAATTATCCTTCGTGCTACTAAACAATTCAACATGATAAGAGAAATAAAACATTCCATCGTCTATTTGGGGGGGTTGGATGGCTTAGTGGTTAGCACGTGCGCACTGTATCATTAAGTCTGTCATTGAGTCAACTGGCGTGGTTTCGAATCCCCGGTTGTACGTGGCAAGGAGTAGGGTCGCCTGTCCAACCTCGTGGGTTTTCTCCGGGTCCTCCGGTTTCCTCCCATTGCTAAAGACCCCTACGCGCAAGCGAATTATTGAAATAAAATTAAACCATATGTTAGTCCCGAAATGACCTAGTTTGTGTCGAGTGGACGTTAAACCCCATTTCTCTCTCTCTCTCTCTCTCTCTCATCTGCTATTTTGAGTAGAGTGGAAATTAAACTGCATACGTCTTTCACCCACACTCAAGGAATTTTATTAAACATCTCAACCAACATTGGCAATTTGATTAAAATACAGATCCTATTTCGTATCGTTTTTATAGTTCATACTTTTTTTTTTTACTTGTCTTCACAATACTAGGACATGGGAGAGTTATTATATAACCTGCATTCTGGTTACAGATCTGTTACAGATTTGTTACAGCGAGTTCTTAGCGTGCGATGCACAGACTGTGGGTAAACAACTAGAAACGTTAACGCTGAATGATTAATCAATGTCTGACGTCATTCATGTATGACCCCCGACGCGACCTTCCCCTACAACCGCCCAGATCTTCATGTATTGTGTGTAGGCCATCGAAGGTATCAAAATACGAAACGAAATATAGATCTGTAGTTTAATCAGATTGTAATTTGATATGAAATTGGAAGACTCTGTGAAAATTGGGGGGTTTGGATGGCTGAATGGTTAGCGTGCATGCGCTGTATCATAAAGTCTGTCATTGAGTCGACTGGCGTGGTTTCGAATCCCCGGTTGTGCGTGACAAGGAGTAGGGTAGCCTGTCCAACCTCGTGGGTTTTCTCCGGGTCCTCGGTTTCCTCCCACTGCTAAAGACCCCTATGCGCAAGAGAATTATTGAAATAAAATTAAACCATATGTTAGTCCCAAAATGACCTAGTTTGTGTCGAGTGGACGTTAAACCCCATTTCTCTCTCTCTCTCTATGAAAATTGTTAGAACATGAACTCTCTGCATGGGAGTATTGAATTTTAATTATTGTTTATTCATAAGATCTGTACTTGTGCTGCATGGAGATTGTAGGACACTGCACTAAGATCTAATTTTTGTCGCAATGTGGCGAGATATACAAACTGTATCGCTCGATCCTGTCTTGGTATCATATGTTTACAAACTGTATCACTCGACCCTCTCATTGTATTAAATGTTTACAAACTGTATCGCTCAACCCTCTAATTTGTTTACAAACTGTATCACTCAACCTTGTCACTGTATCATAGGTTTACAGACTGTATCGCTTGACCCTCTTATATGTTTACAAACTGTATATCGACTCTCACATTTTGTTTACAAACTATCCCTGCTTGTACGTGACAAGGAGTAGGGTCGCCTGTCCAACCTCATGGGTTTTCTCCGGGTCCTCCAGTTTCCTCCCACTTCTAAAGACCCCTACGCGCAAGCGAATTATTGAAATAAAATTAAAAACCATATCTTGGTCCCGAAATGACCTAGTTTGTGTCGAGTGGACGTTAATCCACATTTCTCTCTCTCTCTTTACAAACTGTATTTGAGTAAAGTGTAATATTTATGTATTGTAGGTTTCTATATCGATGCCACAGATCCGATTATTACGGAATGTTATCGATAAAATGAAGAATCTCAGTAACTATGTGGTACGGCTTCATCATTTCATTTGTAGTTATAGAAAATATTACAGTGTGTTTCCGTAAGCAATGGGGGCCAAGCTAGTTGAGCATAGGGGAAATATCTCTGGTTTTGAATTCTTCCAAAATGTTCATCAAGCTTGGACATAAGGCATCTGTCTAGGGAAACTCAGACTATCTTACGTCAATGTTCGTCTTGAAATGACTGCATCATTGACATAGTACCCCATTCTAAAGTCAGGATAACAAAATGAATTGAATTGAAAAAAAACAAAACATTTGATACTAACCTTAAAAGACAATATTGGTGTCAGTCATAATTACATATGTGATAGAACTGGTTAAATACATTCAAAATATAATTTTAACACAGAGATCATTGCTACGGGAGATGTGTAACAAGCACGTGAAGAAACGGGAAGTGACGCCAAACATGACAAACACGAGTTATCCTACTATGTATCTGACTGGTGTAACGAGCGATGACAGACAAATGATCGAATTTAATTTCACTTATAATTCCGTTGAAGTTGAAAAGTTATTATATGGGACGGTGAGAGAGTATCTCACAATTCAAAAATAGAATTGGCTGTCACTAGATAAGGGAAAACGAGAAAAATAGAAAAATTATTTTATTCATTCTGTTCTTAATAAAAAACATGGTAATGCACAAACTTTTTCTCTAATTTGTTTGTTATCTTTTATCTAATGATAGCCAATTCTTTTTTTGAATTGTCAGATATCCTCTCACCGTCTCATATAATAGCTTTTCATCTTCAACTGAATTATCAGTGAAATGAAATTCGATCGCGTGTCTGTTATCACTCGGTGCTTCAATCAGTTATATAGTAGGATAACTCGTGTTTGTCGTCACTCCCCATTTCTTCACGTGCTTGTTACACATCTCCCGTAGCAATGATCTCTGTGTTAAAGTTATATTTGGGATGTATTTAACCAGTTCTATCGCATATTTTATAATGACTGACACCAATGTTGTCCTTTAAACAGAGGATATACAAATGTATGGTTCACACAAAACTTACACGGTTATTGACTCTTATCATCATAAAGGAGGTGGATGGCTGAGTGGTTAGTGCGTGCGAGCTGTATCATAAGGTCTGTCATTGAGTCAACTGGCGTGATTCCCTGGTTGTACATGACTAGGAATAGGGTGGCCTGTCCAGTCTCGTGGATTTTCTCCGGGTCCTCCAGTTTCCTCCCCCTGCTAAAAACTCATCGCGCAGGTGAATTTTTGAAATAAAATTGAACCATGTTAGTCCCAAAATGACCTAGTTTGGGTCGAGTAGACATTAAACCCCCACTCTCTCTCTCATATAGGACAATATCTGAGACAGTGTCACCTCAAAGTGGCAGATAACCAGGCTGACCTTAAAAATATCTTTGTTTCGCCTAACGCGACCGACTAACTAAAACCACCCCCGACTTAAATTATTTTATTGCACTTTTCCGCGTTCTTTTTATTTTATTTTGTGTGTCAACCTGAAATATATCACGAGAGTAATTTTCCTTTACTATGGCTATGGTTTGATTCATTATTAAAACCGGTTGATCAAGACGAAAGCATCATAGGTGTCGCTTCTCAACAAAATGGTTGCAGACGAAAGCATGTCCATTCCCACGAAATGATTCTGCCTCTATTTTTCTCGAAAACGGATATTTTCAATATCCGTTTTCGAGAAAAATGAAGGCACAACCCGCACGATCGTTATAAAACGTGTTGAGGGAGTTTCAAACGTCAGTTTGTGGCAATTCGTGTGCGAGTCGTGCATCACGAAAAATCCCGATGTCATTGATTTGTTTGCCAATAAAAGAAGACGAATGTTTGCACCCGGAAAATTATCAAGCTGTCAAATTAGCTCTTAAAAAAAAATCTGAAAAAAAAACCGACCTACCGACCCTTCTCCTCGGTTGTGGGTCGGGTTTGGTGAAACAAAGATATTTTTAAGGTCAGCCCCATTATGTGTTTCAAAGGTGAAACTATGGATGCTGCTTTGCCTGATTATGATGGACATGTCCTACGCAACTGTACAAACATCCAACCAGGAATATGCCTATAGTAAATCATATTCCATTCTCTTTTAACCCCAACTAAAACTGTCCGATGAGCAAAACTTTTAAACAGCAACCTTGGGTGCAACATATCTAATGATTGCGAAAATAATTTTTTATTGCAGGTGATATCAGCTAATAAGAATGGAGAAATGAAACTACAAGTAGAGACAGACATGGTATCAATCAGTACGCACTTCTCCGATCTCATCAACCCAACTACAAGTACGTACGTTTGATAATTCATTGGGGGGGGGGAGGGGCTGATGGCTGAATGTATCATAAAGTCTGTCATTGAGTCGACTGGCGTGGTTTCGAATCCCCGGTTGTACGTGACAAGGAGTAGGGTTGCCTGTCCAACCTCGTGGGTTTTCTCCGGTTTCCTCCCACTGCTAAAGACCCCTACGCGCAAGCAAATTATTGAAATAAAATTAAACCATATGTTAGTCCCGAAATGACCTAGTTTGTATCGAGTGGACGTTAAACCCTATTTCTCTCTCTCCCTCTCTCGATAATTCATTGTGTCACAAAACAAAGCTGGATGTTAAACTCCCTTTCATCTCATTATGTCCTGGGGGGGGGGGGGGTTGATTGGGTGGTCGAATGCGTGTTGTATCATAATGTCAGTCCTTGAGTCAACTGGCGTGGTTCCGATTCCCCGGTTGTATGTGACAAGGAGTAGAGTCGCCTGTCCAACCTTAAGGGTTTTCTCCAGGTTTCCTCCCACTGCTAAAGACCTCAACGTACAAGCATATTATTGAAATAAAATTGAACAATGTGTTAGTCCCGAAATAACCTTGTTTGTGTTGAGTGGACGTTTAGCTCCATTTCTCTCTCTCTTTCTCTCTCATTGTGTCACGAAACAAAGCTGGAATAATGATTTTTTTCTCTGAAATCATTTGTTTTGGTAACAGTGTACAACTATTGAAAATATACAAACTCTGAACATTGAAAATATACAACCATTGAAAATATACAAACTCTGAACATTGAAAATATACAACCATTGAAAATATACAAACTCTGAACATTGAAAATATACAACCATTGAAAATATTGAAAACATTCCTGAACATACCCATGTTGAAAATATACAAACATTGAGAAAATAGACTTCCGGTTATGAACTGGTCCATGATGATGGCACAGAAATCTGCTCTGCAAATTTTCTAAGAACATCAGCCAAATAAGAAGAAATTTCTTTAAAGCAACTACCATGTATCAGAATTTCGGGTAGTCACTATATATATATTTATATCTCTGCTTAAGTATTGTAATATTTGTGAAGTTGTCGGAGTTGGAAAGTAAACAACATAGGGGGGGGGGGGAAAGCATGTGCTTCTTGTGACGCGGTCCGTGACCATTGCAAACATTGGAAGCCTTCGGTTTAAACCCTAGGCGAAGGTATCGAGTAGATAATATCCATCAACTTGTAAAAATGAATAGCAAAACCAGAAGTGGAGGGACGAATTCAGTATGAGAACCGACAAGGGGTCCATCGAAAATATGATAAAATCGCTTGTGAAAAAAGTAGACACTTTGGTAACTAAAGACAATTTAAAATCACTCGAAACAAAGTTCGAAACAAGTGTGAAAAGTCTCAAATCTGAGGTGAGAGAAGTAAGGACACATTCTCCTTTAAATGGCCCAAATTCAAAGTGACAAATGAAAATTGTGGAGGTCTTTTATTTGGTTAGCATTTACACTCATCTGTAACAATTATCTATGTACTTAATGAATTTGATAATGTGCGACTTAATTACAGCCTTGAATTTTCTTAATGATCAATTAATAAATCACACTGAAAATGCTTATCAAATACGTTAATCAATATAATTTTTTGCTGTAGATTTCACTTTTACTGAACATTACAGCGTAGTGATACATCATTTTTTGACAGCAATTCAACCATTGCAAAGTCTTTTATATTGACTCAGTGTTTCCATCAAAGTCAATTGAATAAAAATAATTCATTTTTGATAAAAAAAGAAGTTACTTTTAATAAAAAATGAACTGTTCTTTGAAAATACAAAAAAGTAGTTCCTTTTTAACTGACCAATCAAATTCATGTGAAGCGATATCTCCTAAGGAGATATCACAGTAGATTATGAAATTTATCACACAAGCGATATCTACTGTAGAATGTATTATTGGGTGATAAAAAATGTTTCACATACTTCTAAAAATTTCTCAAAAGACTATTTAATTTTAAAAAATAAAAGTCTTTTGTTGTTAGCTGTAACAACTCAAAGACAACGTATTTCATGAAATATAATTTTAATGAAATCCCGAATTTAAAATTCATATGTCAACTGAATTTGTAAAAATATTTTTTACACCTGTTTACCCGAATTTGTAGATTTCGAACAGTTTCTTTCATTATGCCCTTCTCTTAACCATCTACTTATTACTGATAAATAAAGTATCTGACACAAAAATCAAATAAATTCATAAACATTTAAATTCCTAAACAATTTTTCAAAGTATGAACAGAATTTAACACTCGTGAAACAAAGTTTAACAATATGCTTAACATTAAGGTGAAAAGGTCACAATTGATGTCTTAGTAAGGCGCTTATCAACCTTCTCCAAAATACGATCTAAAGTTTCTTTATCGATTTTGAATTGTCGGTGTGATTTTCCAATTGGGACAAGCGGATCAATAATCATTACAACATCACTGAAATCAACCCAAAAATATCTGGAGGATTTGGCCATCTGAATTTTCTGTCTTCATCTTTAGTTTGGGTAGTATACATAAAAGTGACGTGCACATCCTTATCGTTATGGTCTACTTTCAGGACTCTTCCTATATACCACAAAGATATCAAGTCCTGGATGACCAGCAACTTTTTAAAATTAAACGCTGATAAAACAGAATATTTAGTGGTAGGATCTAATGCTAACTTTACTAAATTAAACATACATTATGCAAGAGCAAAATCTGCTTATTACAAGTCTTTCTTTAGGCCTGAAATGTTATCTAAATTATCAATTAGACATTAATTAACTTATCCAGACCATAATAAACTCTCAATGTCAAGGCTAGCCTTCGATGTTGGCTGGATTAGATTCCTATATGCCGCTAACGGCCGTTGATAATTACATCAATAAAAGTGGATAATCAAGACTAAGCTGTTTATATTAATGATTTTAGTAATGATGACCGAGACTATGCCAAAATTTCACCCGCTTCTTTCTCGGCTCATAGTGGATCAATTTGACTGAAATTTTCAGCAAATTACCTTTACATTATCTAGTTTTTAACTATTATAGCGAGAATTGCCATCTCGTTATCTTATCTCCCATAATGTATCTTTAAGTGACTGTAATTGCACTCTTCAGATTGATAATAGTAATATTTCTACATTGTAATTCGGCATCAGCCAGAAACATTAGAGTAATATTTGACCTTAACATGACAATGGAAGGTCATATAAATAAAATTTGCAAAACTGGTTATTTTAATTTAAGAAACATCAGCAAAATACGAAAATACGTAACAGTCTCTGCCACAAAAACTCTAGTATGTTCACTAGTTACAGCACATTAAGATTCATTTAATTCTCTTTTATATGGTATTCCACTTAGCCAAATTAATAAATTACAAAAATTGCAAAATTCAGCTGCAAGACTTATAACGGGAACCCCATACAGAGACTCAATCACACCTATTCTTTTTACACTACGCTGGCTCCCTTTTACCTTTAGAATATCGTACAAGATAATTTTATTAACATTTAAATGTTTGAACAACCTTGAACTATCATACATTTCCAAGTTACTTAATCTGTACAAACCGAGTCGCAGTTTGCGCTCTACCGAAGATAATTTTCTACTAGTTCAGAAAAATGGCAACCTTAAATCTTTTGGAGAGGGGGCTTTTGAAATTGCAGTGCCTTAACTTTGGTATAAACTTCCACACAATATCCGCTGCATTTCATCTTTAGAAAAATTTAAAACTAGTCTCAAAACTCATCTTTTCACAATAGAAATGAAATGAAATGAAATGGGGTTTAACGTCCTACTGTTCTGCTCCTATACTGGGCTAATGAAGACGGGCATATGCCATACAGTGTGCTATGAGGGAAATTTTGCCCGGGCAGCGGCACTATCGCCTACTCTTATATCGAATTCCAACTGCCAAGGGATCTTTTACATGCATTACAATGTATACACGGGACCTCGGTTTATCGTCTCATCCGAAAGGACTAGACAGCTGTCCTTGTCAGGCCCTCCGTTCTGCACCACTGACAAGGGGAAACCACGTCGGAAAATCCAGATGAACTATCTTTAATTGATATCTAATACATGTATATTTATCCATAGTTTATTATCTGTGATATATGTTTATTTTAAGGGTATTTTTTCTATTCTTGTGTAATTTTTTTTTTATTTTTTATGTACATTTTTGTTCTATCTTGGTAACTATTTACATTTGTATTTTATGTGTATTTAGTATTGATATATATACCTATGTTTTTGTATTTAATTGTAAAGCGCTATTGAGCACTATAGTGGAAACAGCGCTATATAAGTGTTCTTATAATAATAATAATAATAATAATGATATCCAATCATGTGTACCACAAGATGGAAATCTATCAGCCTGCTTTAATCTTGGAAGAGGCTGTCGACAGGGCGACCCCCTATCCCCATATCTCTTTCTGCTCTGCGCAGAGGTGCTAGGGTATAACTTTATTCGAAACAGAACTAAAAATTTCACCATACGCTGACGATACCGCTCTTCTTTTAGATGACTCAGAAAGATCTTTATATCAGCACTAAGAATCCTAGAAACTTTTTTCAGTCTTTCAGGACTAAGCACTGTAACCCAGGTATCGTTTTAATCTTGTGTATCTAGCACTAATTTCTTTCACATTCATTTAATATCAAATCTTTGTTTAAAAATTCGTAAAAACTGTTTAAAATCACCAAAAATCATCTAATTTGTACTTGTGTCCAGTTTAAAGCTGTCTGATTAATTTTGATAATGAGTGTCCAATTGACAAGTGTTTAATTTCTCAATCATTGTTAAAAAATAAACAACCCAATTGATTAATGATGTATAATGATTAATTTTTGAACAGTGATCAGGAAATTAAATACTTGTAAATTGGACACTCATTATCAAAATTAATCAGTCAGCTTTAAACTGGACACATGTACAAATTAAATGATTTTGGGTGATTTTAAACAATTTTTACGAATTTTTAAACAAAGAT